CGCCATCCGGACCACCGTCACGATTGGCCGCAGCATGCTGCATCACGCCAAGCTGGACAAGAGCTTCTGGGCTGAGGCGGCCATGACAGCCATCTACGTGAAGAATCGTCTGCCATCACCCAAGATCGTACACAAGACTCCGTTCGAGATCGTTTACAAGTCCAAGCCGAGTGTGAAGCACATGCGTGTGTTCGGATGCCAGACGTACATCCTGACGCCGAAGGAAAGACGGCGCAAGTGGGACCCCAAGGCTCGCGCCGGGCTGTTCCTCGGCTACGAAGAAGTGTCCAAGGCGTATCGAGTTTATGACATCGAGGCGGGGCAGGTGGTTATCAGTCGCGATGTCAACTTCGATGAGTCGACCTTTGGACTTTCGACGCATACTTCGGATGAAGACGTCGATGATGCTGTGCTGGACTTGGACGCGCTGGACCTGGACGACAACGATGGACCGCGCCAAACGAGCTTCAAGCAGGCGGGGAAGCGCAAGTACCGACCGAGTGGCGACGACAACACTGCCAGAAGATCGCGCCCCGTTCGCCACCGAGCTGGCTTAGAAGAAGCAAGTGCGCCGGACGTATCCTCCTCGCGCCGAGCCGACCCCGACGAAGAAGAAAAGTCTGGGGACCAAGATGAAGACGACGACTCGACGCCTCCAGTGTTTTGGCGTGCCAGTGCCAACGCTGTGGAAGCAGCAGCCGATCTATCGGAGCCGACGACGTTCCAAGAGGCTGTGAACGGTCCTGATCAAGTGCACTGGCGCAAAGCGATCCGCGCGGAGCTCAAGTCGATGCGACTGCGTGGTGTGTTTCGAGCTGCCAAGTTGCCTAACGGACAACGACCAAGTGGGTGTTCAAGATCAAGCGCAAAGCGGACGGCTCGATCGAGAAGTACAAGGCGCGCCTCGTGGCCAAGGGCTTCAAGCAGAAGTACGGCATTGACTACACCGAGACGTTCTCGCCCGTGGTCAAGTATGTGACGCTGCGCATGGTGATCGCGATTGCTAAGTATTTTGGCTGGCCCCTCGACCAACTCGACGTGGTGACAGCATTCCTGTACGGGATAATGAAGGAGGTGGTCTTCTGCGTGGTTCCGGAAGGCGTCGAACTGGATGGTGACTTCGACTGCCTGGAACTGGTGAAGGCCATCTACGGTCTCAAGCAAGCTTCGCGAGTGTGGAACGAGACCTTCGACGAGTTCGTGTGCTCCATCGGCTTCCAAGTGTCGGCCTTCGATCCGTGCCTCTACATCAAGGTGGTGGACGGTCACTGCGTGCTTGTACTGGTGTACGTGGATGACGTACTGATTACCGGGAGTTCGCCCGAGCTGATCGCACGCACGAAGACCGACCTGAAGACGCGCTTCGAGATGACCGACAGCGGCAAGTGCGCGTTTGTTCTTGGGATCGAGTTGGTGGACGGCCCGGACGGCAGCGTGACCATGTGCCAGCGGCGATACGTGGACGACATCCTGAAGCGCTTCGCCATGGACGAGTGCAAGGCCGTGGTGAGTCCGGTGGACATGAGCACTCGACTGGTTCCAAGCGACGCGGCGACCAAGGTGAACGCTCCGTTTCGCGAAGCTGTTGGTGCTCTGATGCACCTGATGACCGCCACGCGCCCAGACATCGCGTACGCCGTTGGCTATGTATCGCGCTTCATGGAGAACCCCCAAGAGGAACACTGGGTTGCGGTCAAGCGTATCTTTCGCTACCTGCAAGGCACCAAGACGCATGGGATCTGCTTCAAGCCGGGCGACAAGATCGACTTTCGTGGCTACTCGGACGCGGACTGGGCCGGCGACCTCGCCGACCGCAAGTCCACTTCAGGCTACACGTTCATGCTCATGAGTGCGCCTGTGAGCTGGGGAAGCAAGAAGCAATGAAGCGGAGTACATCGCGCTCAGTCTGGCTATCCAAGAAGGCAAGTGGATTCATCGCCTGCTATGCGAGATTCTGGCGGCCGCTAATGAGACTAGACCCGAACTCATGATCCGCGAAGACAACCAGTCGTGCATCAAGATGACGAAGAACCCAGTGAACCACGGTCGCGCCAAGCACATCGACATCAAGTACCACCACATCCGCGATGAAGTCAAGCGCGGCGAAGTCAAGCTCCAGTACTGCGAGACTTCTGTGATGCTAGCGGACATCATGACGAAGGCGCTTGCGGGACCACGCCACACGGATCTGACGGTGGCTCTCGGCATTCGTGGGACTTCGCATTGAGGGGGCGTATTGAGGGTTGCTGGTCTTGGGTACTGTGTACCAGTTGTACCCATTAACCGGTTAACCCGAACCGGTCCAATCCGAACCCACGTTGATTATGGTGATTACGGTAAGTTGTTTACGCCACCGATGATTAGACGAGTAGGATGATTGGATGAACACCGGTGAGTGATGGTTGATTAGATGCACTAGGTGATAGGACGCAGGGTCGCGTGTCTATAACAGTAGGGTGTAAGCTCCAACAATTCAATCACTTTCGAATCTTCATTCTACCCCTCAAGTGCCTTCGCTCCGGTCCCGCCGTCTGCGACGTCCCTCCCTCCGCTTCGTCCGAGCTTCGTGTCCAAGATCCATACCTTCCATCATATACATGACTGGTATGAACACAGTACTGCCTGTAGCGTAGTGCTTCCTCCCTCGTCAGAAGGAGGTAAATTTTAGCTGGTTTCTCAAGACGCTTCGTTCTATGCTTGAAGAGCACGGTGTACCCTGATACTGACGGATCGCGAATTGGCATGTTTGAATGCTCTCGCCATTTTTTTCGCCTTAGTTCCGACCATGATTTGTCGTTGGCACTTCAACTGGAATGTGCTAGAAAAAACCCGAAGTGTTTTGGGGCAGGTTGCCGTTCTCAATCCTCTCCCTGGCCGGGATAAATACGAAAACACGTGGCAGACTCAAGTCTTCATGGATTATTTCTACAAGACTGTGGAATCGGAAACAGAACAAGAATTTAAGTTTCGTCGAGCCCAATTGCACTTACTCTCACCGGTGATTGCTTCGTACCTGGATGAACATTGGTGGAAACACAAAGCCAAACGCGTTCATTGCTGGACAAACCGCCACCGTCACTACGGCTATCGTGATACTTCGGCAGTGGAAGGAACGCATGCGCAATGTAAACGCTAGTTGCACGACTGCAACGGTGATTTGTACACCGTCTTTAGAAGGCTATTACCGTGGTGTGAGCGAACGTGCGGCTTGTGATGCCACGATACTGCCGTATCTACTTCAGCATGACAGATACACACAGGTTTCGCGTGTGACTACTGTTTGGGCTCTTCGTGCTACTCACAGTCTCTGGAAAGAGGCCATGGACATCATAAGTGGAGCTAAACCGTATCGAGCTTGCTCTGGAATTTTTCGCACTGTTCATGCGAGGCCGTGTGTTCATGAACTCATCGCTATGCTTAAATCCAATGGATCTTCTAGGCTTCTACCGAGTCATTTCGACGCTCACTGGTGGATTTATCGCAATCGTATCCAGACTTGGCGGCCAAGGATTCGGGAACCAGCCAGCTTAAGAAAATCCCGCCGCGTCGCGCGATCTCACAAGGCTAATTACGGCGCCTCGGGTACTGCAC